TGAAGCTGAACACAATTACTTGTGGTGAAAGGTTCAGACAAGACTAATTATCCAAGGCATGCCTCACTGCAGTCGTAGCCATGAGCTTGCTTCTCTGGCCACTAGGGTGCACTTGGCAGTGAAGGATGCTTGTCCTGGGAGAGCCTTGAGGAATCACACACCGGATGGTGTTACTACTCTCTTTTCCTCTTGGGGCACCATTCTCCAATTCAGAACTGTCTGTCCTTTTTGTTAGCTACAAGTACACTTTTGGAGCTTGGCTTAGATTCGGTCATTGCTATAGCTTTTATTGTTAAATTGAAATAATAGGTTTTGCCACTTCAAATTTGATCTTATGACAAAAGGATATGCAATTATGTGAAAGGAAGAGAGATCTATGCATGAAATTGACATAACAATGTACCTAACAAACTTATTCTAGTTGATGTATCCTATTCACAGAATACATTATAGATCTATATTTAAATAATTTACATTAATTGCAGTTATTTTAGTGTTGGCTCCCCAGAAATATCAGTAAAAACTTAGCTGGTATTTATTACGATCCTGAGCATGACATTTTTGCGATTATTATTTAACCTTGTACTGTTTAAATGATAAGTTCTAAGCAGTGCAGCAAAAAAAGAAAGAAAAATAACTAAGCAACTTTTGGTAAAGGAGGAGGAAAAAATATCCCTTTCTATGTACAATATGATTCTCTCCTTCCAAACCTATAAGAATCAACAATTGGGGAATAGTTTAAATAATTTGTTATCCTCATAAAATGAAATCCATTGTGAGCAAGTACAACACATATTATTAAAACATGTTTTATAATATGGAAAACTTTGCTCATTTATGTAAGAAGAGAGAAAGGCAGAAGACAACCTATATAATCCTTTTATTTAAAAAATAATCATTTTATATCATGTCTATATTGCAACTATAAGTGCAGAAAAAAGATTGGAACAAATATATGCCTAACATGTTATCTCGTGACAGAATTCTGAGAGTTTTATTTTATTCCTTATCATCTCCATGTCATAATATTTTTACAATGACATATCAACTTTGATGGTTATGTGATTACTATACAATTACATTCTTTAAATCATGATTTGCATAGTACAAGAATATAATCACAAGTGTCATTATCAATACACAGCCAGCCTATAGTATGCAGTGTTCTGCAGCCAAGAGTGACACAGATATGGCTCATAAACAACACTAACCTCTTCTGCTGAGGTTGATTTTAATACATTGCGCATGTTGAACACCTGCTGTGTACCAGGCACTGTTTTAGGCACCTGGGAGACCACAGTGAACAAATCAGTATCATTCCCCGGCATCCTCCTGTCTAATTTTTTCTATATATTTTTAGTTGGCCAATTAATGTCTTTCTATTTGGGGTCTCGCTCTTGCTCAGGCTGGTTTCGAACTCCTGACCTTGAGTGATCCGCCTGCCTCGGCCTCCCGGAGTGCTAGGACTATAGGCGTGAGTCACCACGCCCGGCAGAACTTGCCCCTTTCATTTTTGTGTTGAACAATTCAGTGACCAACAACTGCTAGGTATATGTGTGTGTATATATATATATATATTTTTTTAATATGGAGAATTATTTAAATTTGTCCTTGAAACTCTCTCTGTTAGTTTCGATATTACTCATAGAGTGCCTCGTTGTTGAGTCCCTCTGTGTGCCAGGTGCCAGGCTGTGCCAGTACAGGTTATTGAAAGATGAGAGCTAAGCCCTGTGCTAGGAGATTCTGGTTGCTGATAAGGGAAACCTCGAACCAAAGCTGGCCTAACTTACCCAGGCCAGATGGTTATATCGTCTCAGACAGCACAGGGCAGGGCAGGTGTAGGGTTGTGGATTCAGCCACTCCCCTTGGGCTTGTCTCTGATTTTCTTGGCTTTTGCTTTATGATCTCAAGATAGGTGTGGATTCTCCAGTATCGGTTGCCTGCCGCAAAGGGGACATTTTTGCCTGGTCTGTGTGGGAGCATGTGCATGTACGTATCTGCACACAAACCTCCCCGGGAGCCCACAGCTCCCTTGACTTACGGCTCTCTAGCTGGAATCTTGACACCAGCCCAGGGCCACACCTGTTGCTTGCAGGAAGACAGAGAATGACTGTGGTTGGCCTAGACTGGCAGAGATACCTATGTGCCCCCTGGCACCCAGCCTGGCATGTTCGGTGTCATCTCTGAGTCATTTTCTCTCTTTTATTACATGCGATTAATCAGTCACCACATTTTCAGTAAAATTCCTCTTTACTGATAACATCTTAGGGCATGGAGCCCCACAGAGCTCCTTCTCTTTAGGACTCACGGGGCCTGTCTGCTTCTCCCACCACTTGCCAATTATTAACGTGCTGCCCGGGGATGGTGTTTGTGTGCTATGCTGTTACTCATCCCATCAGTTCACTTTCCTTGTAAGTTCCTGGTGTTTTTGCTGCTTCTTTCTCCTCATAGTACGGAGCATGGCACTGTGAAACTGATTGGGTTTCTCTTTCCAACTCTCTCTTGTGCCCACATCTTTCTCTCCAGCCCGGCTAGGTGTGCCCAGGACCCGGCCGCCATAGCCCTAGATGATAGCATCCACTGGAGACCCCTGGGGTCCTCCTAGAGTGTTACCCCCAGAGCTGCGTTCTCTACAGCGGACCTGGGTGGGGTCAGTCCTAGCCTGCTGCCTCCTGCACTTGCCCCTGAACCATCCATCCCAATCTGAGCCCATCTCTCTCTGCTGCCTCTAAGCCCAGCCCACCGACCTAACCAGCCACAGATCTCATTCTCCAGTAAGGTCTTTCCAGCTTATCTGGCTTCTTGCTTTAACTCACATTATCACCTTACCTAAAACCCTTCCCCTTCCCCTTTGCCTGACTGATGTTTGCTGGTCTTTGAAGGTGTAACTCCTCCCTTATGTCTCTCCTTAGACTCCCTTCCCTCTGAGTTGCTTTTATCACTTTTCCTTAACTATCACTAATGCTCGATCTCTGCAGAACTTCAGAGTCAGACGGACCTGGTGTTAGGATCTGACCTGGATACTCAGTCATTGCCTCCCTCGTCGGGTTATTGCGGGAATGAAATAATTTAGTGCGATTATGTTACCTGCAGGTTCATTGCCTCGTGCCCTCAATCGTGTTTATGAATGATCACATTTTCACACGTGTTTACCTGTGCTTTAAGTCTCCCAGAAAGATGCTGTGAATGTGCTTGTTCCTTTAACAAACGTTTGCCGAGTCCCTGCCACCAGCCGGGCACCGCTGAGGTGTCTGGACGCACAGAGACCCCGACTCTCGCCCAGCTTGTCATCCACGGGTGGCTCCACCTGTCCCACAAGCTTCCCTTAGTAATTCTGTTTTCCCCCTTTGCCAGAAGAGGTATGTGGGAGGCCAGAAACGGGGTGGCCCACAGGAAAAAAGACTTTTACTTGATTTTTAACCCTTTGCACTCAGATGTCGAGTGTGACTCGACACGGTTAGCAAAAATTATAGAGATTAAAATTACTCTTTGAATATATCAATAATTTGAAATATAAAAAAATCCAAATAAGTTTGTATGAAAAAAAAACTCCAGTTTTTTATTCTACTATTGCGCTTTGTAAAATCTGGGGTATTTAAAAACTTAAATCCCAAGTAGAATAAAGGAATCGAGAAAAAAGCAAGTGAGTGCAAAGGGTTAACTCCACTCTTTTACAACAGGCATTTATTTCTATTTCCCCTTTCCTTTTTTTCAACAGTTGTTCTATTAAGGAATTACAGTGCCATTGACCAAAGCTGTCTTTGTGTTTTGTTTTGTTTTTAATTATACTCAGAAGCACAAACTTCTGTGTTTTGTCTTTCAGTGGTGAAAGTGGGGCAGGCAAAACCGAAAGCACTAAACTGATCCTCAAGTTTCTCTCGGTCATCAGTCAACAGTCTTTGGAATTGTCCCTAAAGGAGAAGACGTCCTGTGTTGAACAAGCTATTCTTGAGAGCAGGTATTTCTTTATCCGTGTTCTTGTTTCCACCTGGTAGTACTCACGTTCCTCACGGCATGGCTTACTTAAGGAGGAGTTAAAATTAGTCGGTCTGGTTTCTCTTTTTCTGGATTTCTCTTTTATGGTTTTTAAAGGAGAGGTCTCAACGTGCACATAGCACTTTCTAGTAGCCTCAGCAGCAGCTCCTTGCGGTTGGAGGTGCCCTGACCTCTCCTCGTTGGGCCGGGTTCAAGGTGGGGCTGAGTGGTGCCAGGGGTGGTCTGCAGCCTCCCCCCACCCGAGACCCCTTGACTGCAGTGTCACGTGCGCTTGTAGGGCCGGGGTCAGATTGAATGCTGCTATTGGAGGTAGTGGGAAGGGATAAAGCCGACCAGAGCCCCAGTGGCAGCAGGAATGCGACCCCGGCCACTACACAGAAGGCTCAGCGTGGAGACAGCGGGGCTCAGTTCCCCGTCCAGCCATTTGGAGGCTTAATGTGAGAGCAGGGTGGCCTCACACGACAGAAGGTCAGCGATCTAGCAGATCTTTTCAACGATCTAGCAGAGCTTTTCAAAGACAACTCGGTATTGTCTGAGTTGTTATTTAAAATATATACTTGCCTGATACATGGTTTGTGCCTTATAATACTTTAGAACCGATAGAGACTTACCTAAATAACAGATTCTGTTATTCAGAGTTTCGTTTGGAGGCCGGCAAACTACAGCCTGGTGCCTATATCCTATATCCTGTTATTTGTTTGTTTTTAACACTCAGACACTTCTTTTTTTTTTTTTAATTGTGATACAATATACTCAACATAAAGTTTATGATTTTAACCATTCTTCAGTGTACAGCTCAGTGGCAGTAAGTTGTGCAGCTGTCACTGCCATCCATCTATGAGACACCATCTCCCTCCTGTTGTATGTTTTTGTCGCTGCCATCCATCTATGGGACGCCATCTCCCTCCTGTTGTATGTTTTTGTATGTAAAGTTTAGTCGGAGCCCAGCCACACTCACGTGTGGCGTTCACAGCTCTCCCGAGCTGCGGCGGCAGAGCTGAGCTGAGCAGTTACGGCAGAGGCGTGGCCTGCAAAGCCTAAAGCCATCGCCCTCTGGTCCTTTACCGAACGTGTCTGCCGACCCCTGATCTAGCCTGAGTCCGTTTTATAGTTGGAAAAGACCCAGAGGCATTAAATAAGGTATCCCCAGAGCATAGAGCAAACGGTGACATTTCCAGGACTGGGACTTGGTCAGTTTCTAGAATCCGGGTAGGGGCTGTTTCTGTGCTGGCGGGGGAAGCCCCGCCACGGCCTCCTTGACTGAAAAAGTCCTTTGCCCGCACAGCCTCGCTCTCTCGCCACGTGGGTACTCGGGATAAGCCCGTTTGGCAAGTGTTTTGAAACTCCGTCTCTTCAGAAATCACGAGTGGTCACCTTAGGTCCCTTTGGTTTCGGGTTTTTCCCGCAACTGTGTGATTTGACGTTAGTGAGAAAGGCGCTTGCCGCCTCCCTTCGCCCTGACTAACGCGGTGTGCGCCCCCGCTTCTCCACAGCCCCGTCATGGAAGCCTTCGGCAACGCGAAGACGGTGTACAACAACAACTCCAGTCGCTTCGGGAAGTTCGTTCAGCTGAACATCTGTCAGAAGGGAAACATCCAGGGCGGGAAGATCGTAGATTGTATCCTGTTTCATTTAGTTCCTGCGACTCTCTACGGGGAAACTATGCTCGCTTATCATAAGGACCGAAAAAGAACGTGAAACGTTTCTTTGTGCCTAATTCTGCCCAGTTAGTGCTCTGATCTCAGTGTACTTGACCTGTGTGGTGTTCTGTGAGCCAGGCATGGTGGCGCACGCCTGTGGTCCCAGCTACTCAGGAGGCTGAGGCGGTAGTTCAGCTTGAGCCCAGGAGTTCGAGGCCCGCCTGGCCAACGTAACGAGATCCCTGTCTCCTGAAAAAATAAAATAAAAATATTTGAAAATGATTCTGTGAGACAAAGAAACCATATTTCTTTTGGATATCTCTGATATCATGTCCATAATCTGAAAAATTGAATGCCTCAATTAACGTCAGATATTTGTTTGTAATCAATTCTGTCAAATAGTTTGGCAGCTGATAGGGTACCGAGTGTCATGTTTGGGCTTGGATTTAGATGAAATAGTCTATGCTTTGTTTGTCTTCTGGCTCTGGAAGTTTCGGTGCCAGAGGAACAGTAGCTATAATTATTTGGGTAACAAAGGATAGAAAATGAAAGACTAATTGAGCATAGCATGTCCTCGTTTTGTTCCTTGACTTACCATTACTTTTCACATGAAGATTTATTAGAGAAAGTAAGTAGATGTGATTAATTCACAGTTAATTTCTTTCTTCCACAAAAACAATTTTCAGAAATTACTGGTTTGTGTGAATTAAGCAAAGAAGACGTTGCTGACTAGAAATCTGATTTATCTCCACAGAACCGAGTAGTAAGACAAAATCCTGGGGAAAGGAATTATCACATATTTTATGCACTGCTGGCAGGGCTGAAACATGAAGAGAAAGGTGAGTGAGGGGGACAACAGCAGAGAAATATGAAGTGGCAACTCATTTTCCGTTTAAAAAACATCAGTAAGTAAGTAGACATCTGTTTTTGATGATGTTGACATTCCACCAATTGCTGTGAAATGTATATGAGAATACCACAAGATGCTGAATTCACTTTTGGGCCAAATAATAGAGGGAGAAAATTATCAATAGAACAAAATCTTGAACTTTTTGGAGTCTGGGTACATTTTTAATTTAAAGGATATTTATGAAAAATACATTATAGCTGATTTGACTGTTAAACCATACCCAATTAAAGCTAATTTCTAAAAGTTTGATCTTTAAAGAAAAAAAACAATAAAACTGGATCCTCAGTGATGAGACAGGTCGCAGGGTGTGCCCAGGCTAGAAGAGTGCCGTGGCGTCAGCCTGGCTCCACAACACCAAGGCGCGCGGGAGTCCCCGCCTCAGCCTCCCGAGTAGCGGGACTACAGGCATGCGCCACCATGCCCGGCTAATTTTTTGTATATATATTTTTAGTTGGTCAATTAATTTATTTCTATTTTTGGTAGAGACGGGGTCTTGCTCAGGCTGGTTTCGAACTCCTGACCTTGAGCAATCCGCCCGCCTCGGCCTCCCAAAGTGCTAGGATTACAGGCGTGAGCCACCACGCCCGGCCTCCTCAGTGATTTTTTTCTGCAGTAATATTTTCTACCATCCTGTTTAGTTTAACTTAATTTTTTCTATTTTACATAAATGATAATTAAGAGGTAACTTTACTATCTCAATAGTGGGCTGTTAGGGGTATAGAATTATGTATATACTTTTTTTTACATGATAGAGTGAAAAGTCTTTTGTATTTCATCTTATCTTTGCCAACTGTGATGTTACATTTCTTTTTTCCTTCTGTAGAAGAATTTTATTTATCTGTGCCAGAAAACTACCACTACTTGAATCAATCTGGGTGTATAGAAGACAAGACAATCAGTGACCAGGAATCCTTTAGGGATGTTATTGTAAGTTACTTTTTAAGTTTTCCTTATTAAGAGTGACTGATTTCATTTTCTTTCTCTAAAATAAAAAAAAAAAAAAAAAAAAAACCAGAACTAATTACATTAGACCAGTGTTAATAATAGATATTTCCTTCTTGTTCCAAATCATGATTTCTTCCAGGCTGGAAGGGAATTTGAGGAATCCCCTTTTTAGAAGATGAGTGAATGTCTGTGTCATTCAGGGCAGGTGGGTAGTTCACTGGGAACATTGTGTTCAGAATATATAGCCTCCATCCCAAGAAACAAAAATATCACAGGCTTCACACTGGAGCAAGCAGATCTTCCATTTTTGAGCTTACAAGTAAGATTTCTTTTGACAAATGGATTCCACGGCTAAAAACAAATCTGTTAGCCATTGGACCAGGTGACCACTGGGTTTTCATCCTGTTCTCATGCCCTCGTTGTGACAGCCATTTCTGACCGTATGAGCAGTGGTCATCTTAAGACTCTGAAGCACGGCATGCCTCGGTCTCTTGCAGTTCTGGAATATGTCACGAGGGCTTTGTTACAAGGTGTCTGCATTTAAGAAGCCTGGTCATGAACATTATTAACAGCCCCATCTGACTGAGGGTAGCCAGGAGATTTCATCCTTGTGCTGTTAATTCCTTTGCCAGAGTCCTACTAGAACAGTGGGATGCAGTGCAGCCAGGGCTGTTTCATCATCATTGTAATCCTAATCGTCGTAAATGCAACTAAGATTTATTGAGTACTTTTCTGAACTTTACGTGGACTTTTCTCTCTGATTGCTCTTGCCAACACTGAGTATAGGAAGTGTGGGTGTCTTTATCTAAGACTCAGAGAAGTTGGTGATCAGCCTCCCCTCACCCCATAACCAGTTACACACAGTCTAACTCCAAATCCCACCGTCTCTCCTCTCTTTAAGCTGTTAACAAAAAATCTCCTACAGACAGCGCCATTTGGTGTATACCCGAAGAGGTGTGGAATTTGGCCCTATAAATTGGATTTTTTTTTTTTGAAACAGAGTCTCACTCTGTCGCCCAGGCTAGAGTGCCGTGGCGTCAGCCTAGCTCACAGCAACCTCAAACTCCTGGGCTCAAGCAATCCTTCTGCCTCAGCCTCCCGAGTAGCTGGGACTGTAGGCATGCGCCACCATGCCTGGCTAATTTTTTCTATATATATTTAGTTGTCCAATTAATTCCTTTCTATTTTTAGTAGAGATGGGGTCTCGCTCTTGCTCAGGCAGGTTTCGAACTCCTGACCTTGAGCAATCCTCCCGCCTCGGCCTCCCAGAGGGCTAGGATTACAGGTGTGAGCCACTGCGCCTGGCCAAAATTGGATTTTTTTATGAAGTGTTCTTCCAAATATTTTGAATTATCTGCCCCAGTTTAATTTTGGCCCCCTAGACTTCTCTCACTGCTTGAATCTTCTACCTTCGCAGTTCATTTATTACTATCTATGCCGAAAAGAATCATGTGTTAGAATAAATACTCATTTGTATTTTTCATGATCAGGGCAAAACAAGACTTGTCTCAGGATTTTTTCCCCAATTTTGTTTTTCTTGTTTCTTTCTTGAAGCTGAACACCAATTACTTGTGGTGAAAGGGTTCAGACAAGACTAATTATCCAAGGCATCGCCTCACTGCAGGTCCTGTAGCCATGAGCTTGCTTCTCTGGCCACTAGGGTGCACTTGGCAGTGAAGGATGCTTGTCCTGGGAGAGCCTTGAGGAATCACACACCGGATGGTGTTACTACTCTCTTTTCCTCTTGGGGCACCATTCTCCAATTCAGAACTGTCTGTCCTTTTTGTTAGCTACAAGTACACTTTTGGAGCTTGGCTTAGATTCGGTCATTGCTATAGCTTTTATTGTTAAATTGAAATAATAGGTTTTGCCACTTCAAATTTGATCTTATGACAAAAGGATATGTCAATTATGTAGAAAGGAAGAGAGATCTATGCATGAAATTGACATAACGAATGTACCTAACAAACTTATTCTAGTTGATGTATCCTATTCACAGAATACATTATAGATCTATAATTTATAGATTTTTAAACATTTAATTTGCAGTTACTTTTTTAGTGTTGGCTCCCCAGAAATATCAGTAAAAACTTAGCTGGTATTTATTACGATCCTGAGCATGACATTTTTGCGATTATTATTTAACCTTGTACTGTTAAATGATAATAAGTTCTAAGCAGAGCAGCAAAAAAGAAAGAAAAATAACTAAGCAAAACTTTTGGTAAAGGAGGAGGAAAAAATATCCCTTTCTATGTACAATATGATTCTCTCCTTCCAAACCTATGAGAATCAACAATTGGGGAATAGTTTAAATAATTTGTTATCCTCATAAAATGAAATCCATTGTAGCAAGTACAACACATATTATTAAAACATGTTTAATAATATGGAAAACTTTGCTCATTTATGTAAGAAGAGAGAAAGGCAGAAGACAACACTATATAATCCTTTTATTTAAAAAATAATCATTTTATATCATGTCTATATTGCAACTATAAGTGCAGAAAAAAGATTGGAACGAATATATGCCTAACATGTTATCTCATGACAGAATTCTGAGAGTTTTATTTTATTCCTTATCATCATCTCCATGTCATAATATTTTTACAATGACATATCAACTTTGATGGTTATGTGATTACTATACAATTACATTCCTTAAATCATGATTTGCATAGTACAAGAATATAATCACAAGTGTCATTATCAATACCAGCCAGCCTATAGTATGCAGTGTTCTGCAGCCAAGAGTGACACAGATATGGCTCATAAACAACACTAACCTCTTCTGCTGAGGTTGATTTTAATACATTCGGCATGTTTGAACACCTGCTGTGTACCAGGCACTGTTTTAGGCAGCTGGGAGACCACAGTGAACAAATCAGATACAATCCCCGCATTCTGCTGAAGAAATGGAAAGGCATAAACTACATTCCACTGTTGTGTTTTATGTAGTTTGTTTCAATATTTTCTTCTAATATTAAATGGCACTTAAATTTGTGTATTCATACTTTAATTTCATAAAGCTTCTTTTCCCAAATGTGGTGGAATCAAAGGAAAGAGACCACATTCTACTGGGGCTCAAAGATAGTTTGTTTGCAGAATATGTTGAAATGTTAGTGGAGATAAATTATTTGTGTGAATTACGTATGAAAATGTCACTTTTGGTGTTCATTTTTAGCTACTAAAAAAATCATTATTTTTAAATCAATTTTAATATCAACATACTCTGGTAATAGAACCTTTTAAGAATTTTGATTATTTCATTGAGAATTTGCTTTATGTATAATATTTTTAAAATTCATCATTGGCAACAATTAACAGTGATATAAAGAAGTAAAAACTCTACTTTTGGATCATTTCTATAGTTCATTAATATATAGAAGTACCTGGGATACCTGAGCAGTTTGGGGAGAAAGCTGGTTTTTCCTGGGGCAGAGGCAGTAAACCTACACTAAATTTTATAGTCATTTTTAACACAGCCTTCCAAATCGCACCATAAGTTATTCGGTCAGGATGACAACGAATTTGTTTTATTGCCTGCATTTGACCCACCAGGATGCTGGCTGATGAAATGTGTATGCGATAACAGGAGTGTGTGCTGAGTGATCATCTATTCATTCTCTTACTCCACAAATAGTGAATGTTTACATTCAGTGTTCCCCGGCGTGGACCAGGGCTGGGATTTTCGGACTCCATAGACCTTACTGAGTGTATCCATGGGTTTGGAATGGTGCATGGCCACGTGTGTGTATGTGTAAATTTATTCATCACAAGTTAGATTTTATTAAGATTTAAAGGACTGAGTTTGTACTTCAATTTTGCCAAACTTGGAAACATCAGTCTCTTTTAGTCTTGAAAAACTTGGGAACATAATAAGCAAGTTTTGTTATAAAAACTTATGTTCATTCATCAATCCACCCCCACACATACACACACACATTCACAAGCATCTATTTTTTATGTGCTTCATAAAGACGTTTATTGCAAATATTTTTATGACTTTGTGCCAGTTTTATAACTAAATTGCTGCTTAGCACTTCTGAACCATACTGAGAATTATTTCCCAGGGTTTTTTCAGCCTTGAGCCATATTGTTCAGATGGTAAAATAATTATAGTAAGCCTTAAAGTGGCTACCCTTGCCAAAGAGGTGGAGATTGCTTGCCTAAAAAGATTGTAAATAGGACAGTAAGAAACAATAAATGGAGGCTCTTGCTGGTGGTTTTAGCTCACACGCCTGCGCTGGTGATAATTGGTTGCAGACATTAAATTACCCCCTGGTAGGATTAATGCAATCACCACTTATCACTACACTCCTAACTAATTAACCAATCACTTAGCATTAGACTTGAAAGCAAAGCAGTCACAAATATATTAATATAGTAATCACATTAATTTTGTTCATTTGCTTTCACATCTCCCTATGCAAGCTTTGTATGTTTTTTAAGAACTTAACCAATATATTTTTTTTTTATGGAGCATGTGTCAGTGCTTTTTATTGGACAGTTAAAAATTTTCCACTCTTATAAACTTATTTTTTAAAATCTTATTTCTTTTTAGTATTATATAAAGTCCAGGTCAGTAACTTAGTAAAGATTTTCATTTCTGGGATCATTGTAAGATCAGCTTAGAAAATTTTTATAAACTATCTTTGAATATGTCTTATCATATAGAAGGAACACTTTAATCATGGAAAGGGAAAATACTAACTTTTACACAACATAGTTACTTTGTAATTATTTCGCTGATGTCAAACATGCTCTTCAATACTTCTTAGCCATATTTCTTTACTTTTAGCTTTTTAGAGTAAGTCACTGATAAACACCTTTAAATTTAAATAATGATTTTTCCCATAGGCTTTTTTTCTTAATTCATAAGCACTTGACAAATAATTCTTACTCTTTGCATCCATTTCTGTTTGTACCCATGAAATGATAGTCTGGCACCTTTAATTAAGTAATTCATGGTCTTTTAATTTTTTATAATTGACTTTATTGATATATAAAGCACATGTAATAAAATATTCCCATTTAAAGTATACATTTTGGTGAATTTTGAATTTATACACCCACATACCCCCAACTATGATCAAAATAAAGGACAATTCTATACCCCCCCAAAATTCCTCTGTGCCCCTTCTCAGGCAATCCCAGCCACCCAAGGAAACTACTGACCTAAGTCCCTCTAGTATAGGCTTGTCTTCTCTGGAATTTCATGTAAGTGAAATAATACTGTATGTATTCTCCTGCGTCTAGCTTCCTCAGGTAATCCACACCACAGATATCACTATTCTTTCCTTTTTTTGATATTCCATTGAATAGACAGCAGTTTATTTATCCATTCACCCATTAATCGTCTCACTTTTTGTTGTAAAATTATTGCCAACAACATTAAAAGACGTGATAGACCATAATGTTCACGAGCCTACCAATACCATTAACTCACAGTTAATCCTCACAGTAACTATTATAACCACATTCAATTTTGTAAATTTTCTCCCCAGCCTGAATTTGTAAAATAATTATAGAGACAAAAATATAATTTTTTACTTTTTATATAAAGCTACCAAAGATACAATTCTATTTCTATGTAATGTTCATAATTTCTTTTGAAAAACTATACAATATTCTTATGTTTACTATATTTGTTGTCTTATGGTGGTAGGATAGTTAGAATTGTTTTTTCCTTTGAAAGTGTTATTAGGCTAACACTGTAGTGAATATTTTATAAAGCTTTTGTTTTCTGCTATTGAGATTTTCCTTGGAACAAATTTCCAGCATTGAAATGATTGGAAATTATAGATTTATTTTTTATGTCCTTAGAAAGTAATAGATTTAGGTGGCTAATAACTTCCTAGATTTTGATTCAGTTGGGCAACCCTTGAGAAAGTTATTTTAACCTCCGTGAACCTTGGTTGTTTTGTTTTTTCAGATATTAAAATTACAACTTATATATATGTGACCTAGCAGAATATGGTCACATAATTATGTTGTTTTCCAAAAAGATTATGCTAACTTATAGTACTGACCAGTGTATAAATGTCCCTTTCCCACCCATCTTTAAATTTATCATTCAGAAGTTCTTTGCTAATTTAATCGAAGTGATCTCAGATTGACTTTAATTTGCAACTGTTTGATTTCTAGGAAGGAAGTGCATTTACTGTGGATTTGCATTTCTGCCTATGAGAAGTGCCTGTTTTATTTTTGGTGCTCATGCATCTTCTCGTGGAGCTTTTACTTGTTTCTCTCTCCATTGTTTGCCCCTTTTTTGGCATTATTGCTTTTTCCTTGTAAAGAAATTAAACTTTTCACATTTTAAAATCTGCAGTTGTTTCCTTTTGCAATTTCTATTGCTTCAAAGTGGGGCATGGTTTCCTTCTTCCCAGTTTCCTGTGGTCATTGTATGGGTGCAAGTGCTCTTTGTGGGTCATTTTCATCAACATTGCCAACAATTCTGCCCTCCGTTGTGTGTGGGTGGCTTTCTTTTTCTTTTTAATAGCTTTTTTCCTCACAAGAACGTGTCCTCCATCACAATAGAAAATGAGGAAATGTTAGATATGATTCAGAAAACACCTGGCTTAAGTTGTTTCCATACTTCTTGTTGGTAACAAAGTCCTCTAAGTGTTTGTTTATTTTTATTTTTCCCTGAACAGCATTATGTTAACTTCCACTCAGTATCCTGAGGCCAAGATAAGACCTTAAAAATCTTTTGGAGAAATTTAAAAGAGATCTGTGATGAATGTCTAGGGAAGACAGAGCCGGATCTATTCAGATTTTCCATCAGCGCCTATTCTAGAAGGAGCAGAAGGCTGTCCTTTCCCTGGAGTCCCTGACAGAATTCTGTTCCTCCTGTTTGGGTCCCTGTTTCATTTAACCACAAGACAAGACCCCAAAGTTTACACTGCAGAAGTCTCAGGAAGTGCTACCCTTCTCCCCTTCTCAAATCCCCGCCTCCGAATTTTTATGTGTAAAGAAAATAATAAATGTTCCATATGTTTTGATAGCTATAGAAAAAAATATTTCTTTATCACTGCTATTACAGTGACTCCCTGAAGTAAATTGTTTTACAGCATAAATATATTTGTGCATAGGGCAGATACTTATTTTTATTTCATTGTTTAGATTATCTCTGAGCACCCTACAGCTCTTTATCTCTCTTTTTTTGTGTTATCTGCATAAAGTCTTTTTAAAAGCGAGTGGTTATGCATCTAGTTCTTGTTTCCTTGCCTTTAGAACAACACCCGATACTTTTATTGTCACGAGCATTCTTTATCTTCTTCATTGTCATTTAAACATGTTTACCCTCTTGCAGACGGCAATGGAAGTGATGCAGTTCAGCAAGGAGGAGGTGCGGGAGGTTTTGAGGCTGCTGGCTGGCATACTGCATCTTGGGAACATAGAATTCATCACTGCTGGAGGGGCACAGGTTTCCTTCAAAACAGGTAAGACGCTGCCTGCCTGCCTCCCTCCCTCCCTTGGCTTTTTTTCTCATAGCAAATTTAAACCTGAGTGATTGGCCTTTTACAGAAGAAGTTTTCTGACCCCTGGAATAGAGATCTATAGAACTTTAACTGTATCTGATGTAAAGGGTCAAAGCATGTGAAAAGTTACCCCTGAATTGGGATAGTGGCGATGTTCTCGTTCTTACTAAGAAAAGAAGGGAAAAGGGCCAAATAAGTAGAAATATGAACAACATGGATTTTTTTTTTTTTAGTCTCCTTTGTTGCCAGGTAGACTAGATGAGCTGCGGCGTCAGCCTAGCTCACAGCAACCTCAAACTCCTGGGCTCAAGCAATCCTGCTGCCTCAGCCTCCCAAGTAGCTAGGACTACAGGCATGCACCACAACGCCCAGCGAATTTTTTCTATATATATTATTTGGCCAATTAATTT